CACTCGTTTCCATCAGTAAACTCATCATTTCTTTTAAGGACACACACGCTTTACATTCGAGTAAAGTGAATTTAGAAGATATGTCGGTTTGATTGTCTCTGAGCAAATCCAAAATATGCTATAGGACAAGCTCTTTCGTCGACGTATTTAAAAAAAAATTGCATTATATCTTGGGTCAATAAGGGTCGCCGTGGCAAACAAAATTTCATTCTCTAAACCCGAAAACTTGTGAATGAGCTCGTCTTTTATGACGGTAATTGTATCACCAATGTGTTCATCGGATTAATCAAGATCATAAACAACTTTTTCTAGAGTGGCGATTAAGGGAATCACAGAAGAAATAGCACATCGACAGCACATAACTCTCTGGTTACTTCTTCAAATGGTCTTGTAAGCAAACCGATAAGTTTTTCAACAATCATCCACTCTTCAGAAGCAAGTTGGGGAATTTTATTATTTGCCGAAGCATACAGACATAATGACTGTATATATATATATATATATATATATATATATATATATATATATATATATATATTAGCCCTCTATTTGAGTTAGAATAAAGTTGGTTAAATCACGTTTGCTTCAATTAATCTTCAAACCCATAAAAAATGTAACAATATTATAGTGTGTGATCTATTCAATATTAACGATGACGGCTGCCGTTTGAAACGTTGTAACCCTTGTAACGTCATATACATCACATGTTTGTTAATTTTCTTTAAATAATTATATTATTTTATTTTTTTTTCTATTTTATTCATTTATTACCTTTTTCTTTTATTTTACTATTTATATTCTAAAAATAGTTAGCGCTCAACTCTTCGACCAACTAAATATCCTATTTAATCTCGATTTTTCAATTTTAATATTCTATTTCCCGTATTTAACTCCAGTTTACGCCTATGACACCCTATGACAAAGAACACTATATGTTATCTATGATCTGCTGGCATATAGCGACACGATATTTGTCAGCTGGCAATTCTTGACTTCTGCCATATCAGTTTTATTTTATAGTAGGGAGCTTTTTATCATTTTATTCATTGATAAAGACATGTCTCTATCGAAAATTTATTTAATTATTGAATCTTTCCTTGGGGTAAGTTGATAATTCTTTATAGTTAATATTTCACCAATGTCCAATGTATTTTTCTAGTAATTTTGATATTCGTTTTTTTAACCTTAACCTACAGTTGGCATCTTTATTGTAACTTAACTATAAATTATGTTAATAATAATTATATTCATTTCATTATCCTTACCATCAGCTGTGTTCTTTCAAAAAATTGTTTTTCTATGGCAAGGAAATTTAAAATGTATGCAGTCGCTAACACAAGGTTTATTATTCTAGTTTTTAATAGAAAATAAATTTTTCTTGTTCTTTCTTGTTCAGTGAAACTTTCCTGGGCCTCGTGGTGTATCACACACAAGGATGACAACTGCAGCAGCATAGTAGTTAGTAGGGATGTGTAGTTCACCATCGAAATAGTTCAAATGAACGATTCTTTCAACTGAACTAATTGAACCATTTCATTACTTTTCATAGAACTAGTTCACTGCTAACGATTTGCATTATAAATTTTGTCTCAACTTCTAAAGAAGAAAATAATGAATGAGTGAATGAGAACATATATTTATTATTTTGTGAATGGATGGACTAACTAGTTTAAAAAAATTCCGATTAGCCTTAGATAACAGATTCATAATTCTTATGAATGTGACAATAACATAAAGTCTTATCTTAATGTCATAATGGTTCGGATCTTATGCCCATGTATTGGCTTGGATGTTGCCATGCTGTGTTGTTTCTTCTATTGTAATTTTGAAATAAAAATTTTAGTTGTGGTTAAAATGATTGAGATATTTACATAAAATGTAATTTTATGTAAAAGTGAGATTGAAAATGTGTTATTTAATGTTCCTAGAAAATTCACTGATTTTTTTTTGTAAAGGTTCTTTTAGAAATAACCTAATTATAAATACCTATGAGTTTAAATATACGTAAATATAAAAATAAATCATACGTGAACCATAGTTATATTTAAAACGGTTAATAAAAAACAAATAATAATTTTTTGCAAAAAAAAAAACCAACTAATCATATAATTTAAACCATTTAAACCTAAACATACGATCGAAAGAAATAGTTCCGAACTACTTGTACGGTAGTGAACTAGTGAAAGACTGACCGAAAACCGAAGAAAACGGGTGGCCGGCTCCGAGTTTGTTTGATGATTGAGACGAGACATCTGGCAACCAGTTATGTTAGGGTTGGATTTCGATTTCGGTCCTACAAATAGTTCTTTCGCGAACTAGTTCACTGAACTAGTTCATTTTTGTGAAATAGTTCTCTTGAACTAGTTCGTCTAAAAGAACTAATAAGCACACCTCTAGTAGTTAGCATGAAAAACTAAATAACTGCTTAAATCTACAACGGACTCGACCCCGGCATCTCCATCAACTTACAGTCTATTTATTCGGCTACAATCCATCCAACTAACATCAGAAACCATCAACAAGTTATTCTGCCAACCTTATGAAGCCATGAGTAAATTTTGAATTTGTGTAAAGCTATAGGCAGGATTTTCTTTGTTTTTATTGAATATTACTATTGATATTATTATTGATTTAAACTCCAATTTATATATATTTTTTGTATAATAAATATGATTAGTTAATATTTGAGCGCAAAATATTAAGGAAGATATTTGGACCAACCCAATGCAGCGATGGTTCGTGGAGAATTAAAATGAGCCACGAGCTGGATGAACTAATGCAGAGCACAGATATTGTTAGATTTGTAAAGTCACAAATACTAAACTGGCTTTGTCACCTAGAAAGAATGCTAGATAATCGAGCTCTAAAAGTAGTCCAGAGATGGAAGCCCCAAGGAAACAGAACAAGAGGAAGGCCCCGTAAAAGATGGATGAACGACGTAGAGAGGGATCTTAAAACCATGAACATCAGGCAGTGGCGAAGAAAAGTATCCGACAGGGCGGAATGGAAGAACATTGTTAAGCAGGCCAAGACGCACAAAAGGTTGTAGCGCCATTAGAAGAAGAAAGTTAATATTTTAGTTTACTTTTCACAGCCTAACTCATTTTTTAGATGATTTAAAATCAACATATCTTTTTAGTCTAATTCCGTTTTAGAATATTTTTTATATAATGCAGGATGTTATAAAAAACCAAGACGCAATCTTTAACAGTTTTTTCTTTACATGTTCCTAAAGTTAAAAAACAATGCAAAAATTGGAGTAGGTACAGTTGAAAATAGAGTTGGGACTGTTCGGATTAGGAACTAGAAACGAGAGAAACTATGAGAAAGGCTCATAGAATTCTACAAAAAAAAAATGGTGATTGCCAATACTTGGTTTCAGCTTCCTAAGAAAAGACTATATACATGGACGTCTACTTCACATACAACAAACTACATTGTCAGAAATCAGATAGACTTTATACTCGTAAATAGGAGATATAAAAACTCTATAACCTCAGTTAAAACTTATCTTGGAGCAGATGCTAACTCAGACCACAATCCGTTAGTTGCTGACGTGAAAATGAAATTAAAAATAATTGAACTCAGAAAAAAACAACCAAAAATTAATCTAAGAATGCTAAAAAACGAATTAAAAAATAATGTGAATGTTAATATTCAAAAAACACTAACTGACAACAAACAAATTATGGATGTAAATAAAAAGTGATATAATATAAAAAACACATTACTGAAACCAGCTCAAGAAAGTTTGATACAATATAGATCAGAGGCTAAAAAACAGTGGATGACAGAAGAAATACTATTACAGATGGAAGAAAGAAGGAAATATAAAGGAAAAGATCTACAGAAGAATAAAGAAACACAGCGAATAATTAAGGAAAAAATCAAAACAGCTAATGACATTTATTTGATGAAACACTGTAAAGAGATAGAAGAACTAGAAACAAAATATGATATGAGAAATATGCACAAAAAAATAAGAGAATTGACTGGAATAGTCCGAAATAGCGGGGCAGTAAGGACACATAAAAGACAAAAAGAAGTACTACTAATAGATTTATCAGAGGAATGAAGACGATGGGAGGAGTACGTTAGAGAACTTTTCCAAGATGAAAGAGGTGAAATGCAGAAAATATAAGAATTAAATCCTTTAGAGAGACAATCACGATAGATGAAAACAAATATGCTATCAAAAACTCTAAAGACAATAAGGCAGCTGGATTAGACGAAATACCAGTAGAACTGTTAAAACTAGTGGAAGAGGATAACTTGGAAGTATTGGCAGATTTATTCAACACGGTGTACGATACAGGAATAATACCACAAGATTGGCTAAAGTCAACATTTATAACGATCCCTAAAAAACGAAGTTCGGATTCCGAAATGGAATATGTACTCGAGAAGCACTATTTGCCCTCAACATATTGATTCAGCGATGTCGGGATGTAAACGTTGATCTACACTTGTGCTTTGTTGACTACGAAAAAGCTTTCGATAAAGTAGGACATGAAAAAGTATCAATACTTTTGAACAAGCGCATTGACAGTAAAATCATAAATATAGTGCAAACATTATATTGGAACCCAAGTGCCACAGTTCAAATTGTTGGGCAATACTCAGAAGAAATGAAGATCTGTAGAGGAGTTAGACAGGGATGTGTTTTATCGCCACTTTTGTTTAACTTATATTCTGAAAAAAATTTCCAAAACACGCCCAATAATATCAAAACGGAAAATTAATTAACAACTTATGATATGCAGACAACACTGTGATCATAGCAACGAGTATAGAAGATCTATATACTTATAGGACGAAATCGTTAACTTCTACTTTCAATTAATTTTCTTTTGAGTTGATAACTTTTCAACTATCAATACCCTTTAGTTAAAAAAGAATCATCAGTTATTCAATGTCCCATTCTTAATATCCTATTTTGTAGTAACATCTCTCTATCTTATTTTGTAGATGCACCTAAAAAATAGATATAAAAAACTTACTGCACAATCCGTTGGTAGTGATTCGTCCCACTCTTTTCCATTATATTTACCGCCACCATTCCACTTAAACTCACTCATGCACCCACCTTTGGCCAGGTCTCTGATCCTCATTTCCAAGTATTCTTGGTTGGTTGTAACCTCCAGAAACGGTAGCAAAGCAGGTAAAGAAGGAATGAATTGGGACACTAGAGCTGTGTGAGCTGTCTTTCTTAATCTATCGAGTCCTACTGTACCAACTTTTACATCTGACAAACCATGTTTATCCAAGGAAGCATTGATCCTGTCAAATTCTGCTACTAAACGTTCCAAAATAGTTTGAGATATCCACTACAAATAAAAAAAAAATGTAGGTAAAATAATTGTATGTATAATCAACAAGATAATATTGTTATGTGACCCCCAATTATGACCCTGACGCAGAGTGATTCGATAAGATCTTTATCGGCAACTTTCTGGAATCTCGTGTTATAGCGTTGGTTCGGCCCCAAGTCTTCGTTGGCTATTTCTAGAACAGATGTTGAATGCTCGAATAAATGAACTTTAATCAAATAAAAGGCAGATATGCACAGTTGTTTATCAAATCTTGCCCAAGTACTTCCGCTCTCAGAGCATCTTCACGGGCATTTCGTCAAAATTATAGGCTATCCAGCACTTTTATCAATGTCATAATCATTATTTGCAAGATTTAATAAAAAACTGTGCTCGGTATCTGCCTTTTATTTAATTAAAGATAACTAGATTTGTTAGTTAAACCACGTCCTTCACGCCGACAACACTGAAATTAAGTACGGTAGACAACTGTTTGAAAGTGTTTGCAACGTATAGGGTTTAAATACAAAAAAGTAGATAAAAGACAGGTATTTATGGAATCCTATGGTTTACGGATATGGCGAACGGAATATTTAAACAAAATTAAACAGTGTCGTCGAGAGAATCGACCTATTATTTATTTAGATGAAACGTGGTTTTGATACTCACACGGTCATACGATTTTAAGACTTCCGCCATATTACTGTGTATTTAACCCAATCGAATATATGTGGAAGAATTCGAAGAAATAATACTTCGCCACATTTAAATGCATCTGTCCTTTATCTTATAGAAAGGGAAGTACTCAACATTGATGTACATAGTTGTAAAAATGCAGCCTCACATATCATGAAAGCTGAGAATTCATATTTTCCTACACATAATATACAAAATATTATCATCAATTTAAGTGACGACAGTGATAGTGACACAGATTTGACATAATATCTATGTGATGTAATACTTATACTCGTTTTGTGTGTGTGTGTGTGTGTGTGTGTGTGTGTGTGTGTGTGTGCGTGTGTGTGTGTGTGTGTGTGTGTGTGTGTGTGTGTGTGTGTGTGTGTGTGTGTGTGTGTGTGTGTGTGTGTGTGTGTGTGTGTGTGTGTGTGTGTGTGTGTGTGTGTGTGTGTGTGTGTGTGTGTGTGTGTGTGTGTGTGTGTGTGTGTGTGTGTGTGTGTGTGTGTGTGTGTGTGTGTGTGTGTGTGTGTGTGTGTGTGTGTGTGTGTGTGTGTGTGTGTGTGTGTGTGTGTGTGTGTGTGTGTGTGTGTGTGTGTGTGTGTGTGTGTGTGTGTGTGTGTGTGTGTGTGTGTGTGTGTGTGTGTGTGTGTGTGTGTGTGTGTGTGTGTGTGTGTGTGTGTGTGTGTGTGTGTGTGTGTGTGTGTGTGTGTGTGTGTGTGTGTGTGTGTGTGTGTGTGTGTGTGTGTGTGTGTGTGTGTGTGTGTGTGTGTGTGTGTGTGTGTGTGTGTGTGTGTGTGTGTGTGTGTGTGTGTGTGTGTGTGTGTGTGTGTGTGTGTGTGTGTGTGTGTGTGTGTGTGTGTGTGTGTGTGTGTGTGTGTGTGTGTGTGTGTGTGTGTGTGTGTGTGTGTGTGTGTGTGTGTGTGTGTGTGTGTGTGTGTGTGTGTGTGTGTGTGTGTGTGTGTGTGTGTGTGTGTGTGTGTGTGTTTTATTGGCACTGGTTTTCACAACCAACTGCCCAGTCAATTTCATAATAATTCATAATAATAATTTTTTTAGACTATAACTTATCACTAAGTTAGGGGAGTAAGGTGTAATGTCTGTGTTGAGTAAATGTCTTGTTACTTTAGGAAAGTCGACTTCATTGTCTTTACAAAGAGACGCTAATTGTATCCGAACGTCTGCGGTCCCTCCGGTGAGTACCGATTTACTCGTTTTAAAAGGTTCATATTTGTTCATGTTGACTTGTTATATTTAAGTTTTCAGTTTCATGTCTGAAAAAGTTGACAAAAAAGTGAAATTTCTTTATTAATAATTTCATGAAAATAAACGTTATGCATCACATAGATATCATTAATCAATAAGCTTGTAAAATATTAAGTGGTAGATAGGGAAAATCAAAATTATTAATTAATACTGAAGAGGAAAGTGATTTTAAATTTAGATATGCAAGAAAATGTAATTTTAAAATGTTTGTAGGTATTAAAAATATGTCCAAGTTTAGATTCATGGCCTTCTAATAAATAAGTAATACATTTAAGGTAAAAAGTAAATAAAAAAATACTTTTGCAATTGTTGATTTTGTATATTGAATAAGGTAAATTAGAAATGAAATTAAAAATTAATGCACCTACTGACACATGATTAAAAGGCCATGAATCTAAATTTAAATATAATTTTTAATTCCTACAACCAAATTAAAATGACATTTTGTTCTGTACCTAAATTTAAAAGCACTTCACTATTAAGCATAAATCAATATTTTTGATTTTCGCTGTATACCACTTAAAATTTTATAAATTTGATTATTGATTTCTATACAATGCAGAAATTTTTATGAAGAATAGTTTTTTTCATGAAATTAATAATAAAGAAATTTCCCATTTGTTGCCAATTTTTTCAGACATACTTTATACCTTACTAACAATTGAAAAACTTCTTCCCTTACATGAAATATAAAATATAATCATATTCAGTCATATATATATATATATATATATATATATATATATATATATATATATATATATATATATATATATATATATATTTACGGCATAAAGTGAACTCCGCCCATGTTAAAATTCAGGTTCAAGTGAGCTCCGTGGTCAAGTGGACACCGATATACGGAGCTCACATGACCATTCCATAATATTGGCTCTGTCGATTCGTTAAGATGTATAGTTTCATAATTCTTAATAAAATTTTGGAGCTCATAAGTACCCCTGTATCATAAATGTATTTCGCTTAGTTCACGTGTATATATTATAGGGGTCGTTCAGATCTTTTTCACTGTATATTGGAACCATATGAATATCGGTTTAAGTAAGCTCTGATAGTTTGGCAAATATGCACTTAGGCCAGCGTTCTTGATATATATATTTTATATATTTAAACGGTTCATACGGACTCCTTTTCATACGCATTACAATATGTAATCTTCTCTTCTTCTTGATGTGCCTATCCGTTATGAATGTTGGCGATCATATTGACAATATGTAATAGATATGTATAATACCAAATACCTGTTTTTGGTAGGTACCTGCTATTCTAAAAATAGCTTTATGAATACAAAAGGATTTCATTACCAAGTTGGACGTGTTTTTTCATCTGCGAATATTTCCTAATGTATTTTGTTAACATGAATATGTCTTTATACGTTTTATTTAAGAATACGATTAATAAGATCTTTTAGTTAATCCATTGTTTTACGATATCTTGTATCCAGCTTCTTTATTATTTTATTTCTGGTTTTATCTGTGTAATACATATAATTCTGGATAGGTTATCTTAAAATAAATATTTAAGTGCAAAAATAGATATTTGTATGTAAAAATTGGTAGTAGTGCACAAAAGAGGAAAGAATGCTTAATTTATATAAGAAGAATGTACCAGTTCACCAATATTACATACTTCTAAATGTTTTATCTGCTATTTAGGGGTAATATGTAATCAGTAAACGTGGAGTTAGTGTCAAATTTGCAATAATCTTTGGTCAGTTTTTTCTCGATTTTAGTCATAAATTGAGCTGGTATTCGTTGAGTGGATGTTGCGATTCTAGACTTTGTATCTTTTATTCTCTAGCAGTCTAGCTACTTATCTTGGATATTAGGTGAATTGATAGCTACGATATTGTAGAGCTGTGTGATATACGTATGTATGGATGTGTGTGTGTGTGTGTGTGTGTGTGTGGTGTGTGTGTGTGTGTGTGTGTGTGTGTGTGTGTGTGTGTGTGTGTGTGTGTGTGTGTGTGTGTGTGTGTGTGTGTGTGTGTGTGTGTGTGTGTGTGTGTGTGTGTGTGTGTGTGTGTGTGTGTGTTGTGTGTGGTGTGTGTGTGTGTCTTAATATTCGCTGAATTTGGCTGTCTAATTTATAGCTAAATATTCGTGTTGTGTTGGTGTCATCCATACTTGCAAGGTATATTCGGTAGCAGAAGCATAGAGTGCAAGCGTCTACCTTTTAAGGATGAAAGGATGCTTCTCATTTTTAGCTGACAAGTTTGCAGAGATTATTTTTCTGGTCCTCAGTTTGCCTTTTAGTTTTAAACAATGTTCTATGAATGACAAAGTGTGATACAAACTATCTTCAAGGTATTTATAGCAAGTCCAGAGTTTAAAAATTTCATGACACTATTGGATGTTTAGATTTTTAAAAGCATCTCTGTTAGGGACATTAAAGCAGGACATCTGACTTTTTCTGAGGTTTGGCTTAAAATTGATTCATAGTCTATTTTTATTGTGTTTTAAAGTATGATTTAGATTTTTCTATACTTCAGCAACAAAAGTTTTTGGTTGTGCAACAATATCGATGTATCGTCTACATAATAAAAGTCCTAGTATTTACTGGTATGGGTTGTGTAAATATTATACAGTGTAGGTACCATTACGCTACCCCAAAGGAGACCGTTTTTCTGCGTTTTCCATCTGTTATTTTTACCATTGAATGATACGAAAAATCTTCTGTTGTGTAGGCATACCCGGACAATACAAGCCATTGTTGTATTTTTGATCCAAATTTTAGAATTATTTTTGTGCTCAGATCTTTAGTCAGAAGCCGTAATATTGTTCATTATATACGTAGATAGCAGATCCAAGCTCAACACCGTTGAAAGATTCCCTTAGCTGACTGGTTTTGTCCCCTCTCATTTTAAGTTTTCTTTTCTTGTTTGCCTATGTTTGGCCCTCAATGTGTTTCCTGCACTAGAAATACGTCACATTTGTGTTAACCGCATATGTCTGATAAAGTTAAGTAAAATAAAGTACCTATCTTTATCTCTGGATATTCCCTTCTCTAATGTTTATAGAAATAATTAGGATAGTTGGCATAAAAAAGGCCGATTT